CCGCGCATTAAATCTTAAGGTCCTTAGGAACCTGTCCAATATCTAGTTGGACAAATAGAAGCAGATAAAAAGATGAGACCGGAAGGACAGAACTCGTTAGCATCTTGAACACTACAGCACTATCAAGCCCCAAGTCTTGGTTTACTTGGGATTTTTCTGACCTAACAAAAATCATTTTTTATCAGAAAAATATTTTCCCAGATTCCCTATTTCTTCAGAGAAAGGGGTAGGAAAGGTGGCATTTAAATTGTTCTCAGCCTTCTTTGGTACCGCATACATCCTAGATAACACGGAACCAAGCAACAATCAAACAACTTGCTAAAATCGCCCTCATAGGATTCCAGAAGAGAGTCAAATCTGAAAATGTACAATCTATCTCAAAAAATTGGCAAACACAACAATAATTTTCATTTTTTCTCAGGAAAAGAGAACAAAAGAAGGGCAGGGAGTTGGAAAGAAAGAAGCTTGGTAAAGATGTAACACACAAACAGCTATAGTCGATTCTTGCATTTACTGAGAAATTAAAGCTTTCACCAACCATAATGAGGTTGATGATTCTTAAGGCCAAAAATTTTAAATAGCTAGAACTATTTTAGACAATAAAGAGATCCATAAGCAAGGAAGAAAAAGTTTGAACGTACCCCAATAAGCCACGTCCCTGCCATGGTCTTGGTGTTACTGCTAAACTAACCCGAGCACCCTGCCTGAGAACCACCACAGGTATTGCACGCCCCTGATTTGTCTGCGCTTCAGCAGCAAGCCTTTGCAACAGGTTTTCACCAAATTCCACACATCCAAATTTCACAAGTTGATCCCCAAGTTGTACACCGTCTTCTGCGGCTGGAGAACCTTCAGTTATTTCATCAACCACTGCAAAGGGCTTGCTTACAACTACATCAACATCCATGGCCCTTGATGCATCCCTTGTGGCAGAATTTACAGAAGGATTTAAATCAATCATCCCTGCATCACCTTAAAAAGTACATAAAATATTGTTAGCTGAGTAACTAGCAACAAATAGCAGAAATACATGCAACTGTTGGGACCATGACATAGTACAATCCAGAAGGGGGCAGAAGCCCCTTGGCATTAACTAAGATTCTCAGTTGTGAAATATATAAAGTTTCAGGTGACTCAAACAAGGCAATCAATTGTTCAACATTGACGCAGAATGAAAGAATAAGAAAGTTACACCAACTGATGAGTCAATAACAATAAGTTTTTGGAAAAAAATGTTCACATTGGAAATTAAAATACTAAAAATAAACAACATAACTCATTCACAAGCTTGATCAATGCGAACAGCAAGAAAGACATAAAATTGAAATGATTACCTGTATCTTCAGTTGTCGTAGAAGTAAGCCTTGCTGAATGCAGAACTTGAATATTTTGGTTTATTTTCTCTGTGATATCTTTATGATCATTGCGTACCTCTGAAAAACAAACAGAGAGAGAATTCACAATCTCGCTGAGCAAGTAAAAAGACTGCACAATGATGGCCATCATAGCATCAACATGACAAAACCATTAGGTTTCCAAAAGACATTGCTCAGTGAACTTACATCAAATATACTAACAGTTTTCCCAAATAGTAACTATGTAGATTTAATCCAAGTGGCCCTTTACTGGATGAAGATCAATTGAACAAAACTGCATGGTTCTTTTCAGAGATACTATTCAGATTAAGAAAGAGGTTCAACTTTTCATCTAGAAGGGTAGATACAAACAACTTAACCACATCATAGTGCATGTCAAACTGAAACAGAACAATAAAGAACCTTCCATAATCTCATCATCTTATTCACAAGTTTAATAATCAAGACTGCAGAGCAGGGTCCAATAGAGAATACAGTTGAGTTACTTGAGAGCACAAATTATTGGGAAAGGAGGTGGGGGTATACCACCATTTCTTCCACATAAACTTCCACCTTCCCATAGTTGTCATAAATGCTGTACCACAAAAATGAAAGCAAAAACCAAATATAACACTTCCCCAAGATTTGATTAAACAGTTTCATCACACCAAATCCAGGTATGATATGGCCTTGCACAAAAAGCCTTTGCTTTACAATAACTACTCGTGTCTCTTCAAAACCTGAGACTACCATTTACTGCTTCCAATTTTCATGACCAGTTTAGAATTCAAACGGCAGCATGGCAATGAAGATAAAGGCAACCAAATAACCATCTTCTTAGACAAACAGATTGTCTCTCTTGTGCAGAAAACTCGCAAAAATTGCTAACTTTTTCCAAGTTCTACATCTCATTCAAGATGCAAACATCCTGCTCAACTCCTAGTTGAAGTAACTTAAGATTTACCAAAAACTTCTATGAACTTAAAACAAGCAACATCATTTAGCCACATTATCGGTTTAATTTGGGGCAAGATTTCCCAAGAACTCAAGCTCCACTTAGTAAGAATCCCACTGAGATATTAGCCCATCACAAACCCTCGATTAATCTTGCTCTGCTCATAATTACATCACTTGCACACCAAAATTTACTCACCTGAACTTAAAAAGGAAGAGAATTGACCATACTAACCATTTATGCAACATATTTACCTGCAAGCCTATGACGTTCAGCTCTCACAGCAGGAATATCGATATCAGCCCTTGGAAATCCCTGCAAGATAATAGCAAACATTACTACCTTAATTCATCAATAAATGATATCAGCAAATAACTCTAAATCTAGAAATTTCCAAAAATAAAAGCATGCCTCGGAATCAAGGAGGTTGCCGGACAGACCGGGGCCACCGGGACGGCAGAGATTTTCGATGATGACGTTCATTTCAGCCTCAATTCCGCTCCTCTGCTCCATCAGCTTCATTGTCTCTGCTTTGAGATTTGTTGCCACCATTTCTTTCTTTTTTTCTTTCTTTTAGTACAATGCTTCAGAATTTAGCTCATCTAGGGTTTCAGAAGATATACAGCTCCCGAGCCCCAGAATCGAAACCGGTGACTTCTTCTTCTACTTCTTCTAGTAAGTTCTAGACGGATGTACAATAGGCAACTCTACGCACGCGAAGCATGAGATTCAGACGATATATATATATATATATAGTTTATTTATTTATTTATTTCTTCATTTTCCCTTTCCCGGTGGAAGCGGACCAACCGACCGGAGCGAGCAAGCGGTGGTTGAGCCTTGGAACAGAAATATACATTTGTTAGAATTACATAAATAGTCCATTAGTATGTTATAAATACATTAATGACTCTAATAATCTTTCACTTTCTCACTAATCCACACCCAGTCATATATCGATTGTCACTTTTTCACTAACCGCTATCATATATTCATATCAGACGGATGGACGTCTTACCCATATTTCGGTGAGTTACCTGAGAAGAAGTCATAGCCAAGGCTCTGGTTTGAGTCCCCCTAATGATTTGTATCTAACTCTTGTACTATTTGGTTTTATTATCTCCCATTTCATATTTTAAGAAAGGAAATGAATATTAGCACTATTTAAAAAACTTTTAAACACTCCATAAATGTAAAAGGAATGAGTGTTTGAGATTTTTTAGGAGTTCTAACGTCATTTCCCTTCAAGATTTGCTACATTAGATTCAAAATACAAATGATTTATTTTTATCTAGTTGTATTTATTGAAGGCGATTCAAGTCCAATTACATATAGTTGTTTGGATACCCCAATTATCCCAAATAATATTTTGCTTGCATCATAGACACATTTTTCAATCCACCTTTTTATATTCTCAATCACCTTTTTATCTCACATACATCACATCACAAAAAGTGTTACAATAATTATTTCAAATAATATTTTAAATAATACACTATCCAATAATACTGTTTTTCCCTCTGGATAAGAAAGATATACTTACACTAAAACTTCAAAAATAAGAAATAAAATCATTGTGCTTGTGACAAAATCATGGCAAATGTATTGTGAGATACTAATGTACAACAAAAAATAATTTAAAGCGTAACACATCAACAAGATAGCATGCTTTTGTATCTCTATCTCTGGTAGATAGCATTCAAGAATATAAACCACTAAACCAAGATTCAATCTTTGATCGATGAACAAAATGTCTTGTTTTGGAATTATTACAAAATTGAAGGGCTAGAATGTTGTTTTTTTCTTTTTGTCAAAATTTCAAGTTGAAAGGTGTTATTCCCTCATTGCGTTCAATTATTAGAGATATTTTTACTGTAACACTTTTTGTGATGTGATGTATGTGAGATAAAAAGGTAATTGAGAAGGTAAAAAGGTGTATTGAAAATTGTAATGATGATGTAAGCAAATAAATTTGGGGAAATAAAGCCCAATCCAAACAAACCAATTCCTTTTTGTTTTTTTGGTACATGTTACAGTACTGTTGTTTCCTCCTTATTTACCACAAAATAGTAAATTTGGTGATTCAATTCCTGCACATAAGGGCTAGGATATTATTTTTTCAGGTTTATTTTTCGTATGATTTCAAAATTTTAGTGAATTTTACCTATGTCAACTTGTGAAATAATGAGATACTCTATGCAATAATTTATTTCAGCTGATTTTACGTTATTAGGATAATATAAGAATCCAAGAAGAAAGGACACAAAATTACCTTTTATTTTATAATAAACATATAGTTTGATTACTACAAGTCAAAATAAAAAAGTGCAACAATTTTGGTTGTGGAAAAAGCGTGGCAAAGGCATCGTAATAAAATGATGATGTACTAAAGTATACCTCAAACAATTAAAATGTGAAGGTAACTAATGAACAAGATAGCATATTTGCTCAAAAGAAAAAAAGAAAAGAAAAAGAACAAGCTAGCGTTATTATTCTTTTTCATTTTCGTAATGTTGATAGATGAACAATATAACATTCAATAGCATATCGCAGTAAAATACTCTAATACCAAGCCAAGATTCAAAATAAAGAACTCTACCAATGGATAATTTAAACAGATTAGCAAAATCCCAAAAAGATAAGGGGAAAAACCAAATCAAAAATCAATTTTAATCATAGGCTGATAGGAAAGATGCTGGAGCTGACATCAACAGGCATTGGTGACTGAGCCCATTGAGCAACCCAGCCCCACATCACACTCTCCATTTTTGATGATACGATTTTTGTTCAAGACTTCTACTAGTATAAATAGATTAGCCCCCCACTCTGCAGAATGGCCGCCATCAGAGCATCAGCATCTTTAGCCTCTTGTTCTCTTACTTTAGTTGCTTCCACTTCTTATACTTCTGCATCATCTGGTTCCTCGGTTTTTACGAGATTTCGATCTAAGCCCCTCTGGGGTTTCTCTGTTTCTGTTGCACCCTTGTGTTATTATTCTTCAAGAAGAGCAAAACGGATGGCCCACTCCATTGCTCACGCCACTCTTGGCCTTACTCAGCCTAATCAGATTGTGCCCCCTAAGGTTTAAGTCCTCCAACTCAATCACACTTGCTAAATACTAGTAGTTCTCAGTGTAGGTTGATTTTCAGCTGTGCTCAATGCTTTTCTTGTTGTTTGATGAATTTTTGGTTGGATTCTTGGAATTTAGTTTCATCTGTTGTTAGTTTTGGACTGATGTATTAGTCTGGATGCTGCTCAACTGATTGTACTTATGAATACTTCTTTTGGTACTGCTTTGCAACATGGCTTTTGATCAATTAGTTTGGATTGGAGTTTTTTTTTTTTTTTTTTTGGGTCTATTCCTGATGCATCAAGTTTGAGTCTTTGTCGGAAATTTAGAAATTTGCATCAACTTTTTTACCTGTTGTTGATCATGAGAGTCCAAAGTTCAAATTTTTATGACACTATAGGGTTCTTTTGTTGGTTCATTGATCAATTCTGGAACTAAAAATGCTTCTTTGTCTTGATTCCTTGACGCTATATAAATGTCAATATATTTTTTTCATCATATACGCATGAATATTGCTGTTTGATTGGTATAAGCCGACCTTAAGATACCTTATGCGAGCATATGTGCAATATTTTACTCAACTCGTTTACCTGAATTAAATACGATGGCAAAAATGTTGGCTTTATTAATGTAGCGATTATTTATGTGTCAATGAAAACTAATCTGTATTTCGGGATTTCTGTGGCTGGCCAAGGCTGGAAGTTAAAAACACAGTCCTCCACATTTTTCATTAGCTCGATTTGACTTGTTATTATAATTTTTAAATGATAAAAGTGATCTTCTTTAAAAATAATCACGCTTTAACTAGTATAATTCTGAAAGTAAAAAGTGAGCGTTATACTCATTGAAAAGGCATGGCAAAGCCATTGTGATAATGTGATCTACTAACTGTACCCCAATGAAAAGGTAACTAATGAACATGATAGCATTATGCTCTTTCATTTTTATAATGTAAATAGATTAAGAATACTATACAATACTAATTCTATCATTCAACTTACTAAGAACTCTACCAAGGGATAAGGTAAACAAACTAGCAAAAGCCCTTAAAGATAATGAAAAGGAAAACGAAATCTTTTTAGTCATAGTCTGGCAAGAAAGATGCTGTCGCTGAGGTCAACAAGCACAGTTGATCAAATCCATTGAGCCTGAGGAACCCCACAACATACTCTCCTTTTGCGCTCTGATTTTTCATACGTTATTGACGATATTATATTTGTTCTAGACTTCTAGTAGTATAAATAGATTAGCCATGCCACTGTACAATTGCAGCCGTTAGAGCATCAGCATCTTTAGCCTCTTGTTCTCATACTTTTGTTGCTTCAACTTTTTCTTGTTCTTTTTCATCATCTTGTTACTCAGTTTTTATGAGATTTCGATCTAAACCCATCTGGTGTTTTTCTTTTTCTGTTGCACCCTTGTGTTGTTATTCTTCAAGAAGAGCAAAATGCATGGCCCACTCCATTGCTACATTGCTAAGGCTGGTCTTGGCCTTACTCAGCCTAATTAAATTGAGCCGCCTAAGGTTTAAGTCCCAACTAAAGAATACTTGCTTAGTATTACTATTTTTCTTTGTAGGTTGATTTGAACTGTGCTGAATGCTTTGCTTGTTGTGTGATGAATTTTTTATTGTGTTCTTGGAATTTAGTTTCATCTGGTGTTAGTTTTGGACTAATAGACAATCATCACTTGGTTGAATTAATATATGTTATTCTGGATGTTGCATAACAGATTGTACTTAGAAATACTTCTTCGGACAGTGTTTTTCAACATGATATTTTGATATATTAGTTTGGATTTGGATTTTTTTGTACATTTCTGATGCATCGAGTTTGAGTCTTTTTCGGTAATTTAAAATTTCTATTTCAACTTTTGTTTCTGTTGTTGATCATGATAGACCTTAAGTACATTTTTTATCTTTTTTTTTTATATATATGTAACTCATGTTTTGACATTGAAGAGTTCTCTTGCTCAGTCTGGTTCTTTTGATCAATTTCGGAACTAAAAATACTTCTTTGGCTTGATTATTTGAGGTCATATAAATGTAGATATTTTTCATCCCATGTGTATAAATATTGCTGTTTGATTGGTATTTTCATGGTTGATGAATTGCTGAATTTTTTAATGTGTTGATGGAACTCTTGGAAGATCTCTTTTGCGGCAAAAGAGATTGATTTGGTTGAATGGAAAGGAGACATACTTGCTATAGGTGTCACAGAGAAAGACGTAGCAAAAGATGAAAGTTCAAAGTTCCAAAATCCAATCTTGCAAAAGTTAGATTCCAAGTTAGGTGGTTTGTTGTCTGAAGCGTCTTCTGAGGAGGATTTCACTGGAAAGGCTGGGCAGTCAACAATTCTCAGAGTTCCTGGCCTGGGGACTAAAAGGGTTGGCTTGGTAGGGCTTGGACAAGCAGCATCGACTACTGCCGCTTATCGCAGTCTTGGTGAGACAATTGCTGCTGCAGCTAAGTCTGCTCAGGCAAGTAATGTTGCCATTGCCCTTGCTTCTTCTGAAACTCTCTCTGCAGATTCAAGGCTTACAACTGTTTCAGCCATAGCATCTGGTGTGTTCACTTGTCCAAATTATTTTGCTTATGTCTGTGTGTATTTTTTTCCCTTTTTTGGAACTTGATTGATTAAACAGTGACCATATAATGTGTTTTTTTAGGAACTGTGCTGGGGACTTATGAAGATAGCAGGTTTAAGTCAGAGTCAAAGAAACCAACTCTTACATCTGTGGACATTCTTGGTTTGGGTACTGGACCTGAGATAGAAAAGAAACTTAAATTTGCAGAATCTGTATCCTCAGCAGTTATTTTTGGCATAAACCTTGTCAATGCGCCAGCCAACGTACTCACCCCTGGTTGGTGAATCTTTCATTGCAATCTCTTTTTATGTACTAGTTGAGCGATGCAGATTGTTACCTTTGTTTTGATTCCCATATTCTGCCTTTAACCCCTGCCCGGTATTTAACGCCCAAATGACTTTATGTTTTTCTTTTTGTCCTTGTTTTTCTCCCCAAATTTATGCATGTTGGAAGACGAGTGTTCCCCTCATACTTCACCTCTGTCTCTTGTACTTCAGCGGTACTAGCTGAAGAGGCCAAAAGGATTGCTTCATTGTACAGCGATGTACTCACTACAACAATCTTGAACGTGGAGCAGTGCAAAGAGTTAAAAATGGGATCCTATCTGGGTGTTGCTGCAGCTTCTGCTAATCCTCCGCATTTTATCCATATAGTTTACAAGCCTCTGGGTGGATCCGTCAAAACTAAGCTGGCTTTAGTTGGAAAGGGATTGACTTTTGACAGGTAATAAGTGGCACAAAATAAATTTTGGTTGCCTGGAGGGTCGCTGCTTTTGTCATGTACTATAATGTTCTCATAGTTTCTCTTTGTGGACCATTGATCAAGAACATTTGCCTTTCTTTATTGTCACAGTGGTGGCTACAATATCAAGACAGGACCAGGATGTTCAATTGAGCTCATGAAATTTGATATGGGAGGCTCTGCAGCTGTGTTGGGTGCAGCAAAGGCTCTTGGCCAAATCAAGCCAGCTGGAGTAGAGGTGAGTTGTTTACCAGTCTTGCTGAATTGTTTTTATCCTTAACTAACTTTTATCACCTCTTGCGGGAAGAATATCTAAACAATTTCTTATCAATTGTACCTTCTAATGGACGCTATGGGCTAATAAAAAGTTATTTGCTTGTAGGTTCATTTCATTGTTGCAGCTTGTGAAAATATGATCAGTGGAACAGGTATGAGACCTGGAGATATTGTCACAGCTTCAAATGGAAAGACTATTGAGGTAATGCTTTCGGACAGGAATGACTTCAGTTACTACTATCTGATCTGATGGGGCCAGAAATATACTTTTATTTCTTCTTTCCTGGTTCTACAGATGGTGTGAATTATCATAGTCTCTGCACAAATTAGGCTCTGTTGCCGACCTCAACTCATTTTCCTTGTTTAGACAATCGATATACATATGCTTACGGGTTCATACACTTTTGCTTGCATGCTTATATACTGCAGCATGATGAGATAATTAGACAATTGACTATATAGGTTTACTTTTTTACCAGGTATTCAATCTGATTTTATGTTATATGCTCAGTGGCCTAGAAGCATTTAACTTTTATGTGAAACTATTCTTTTTGTAATTCTGATGGACTCTGTTAAACCTTATAAAAGCTACAAAATGTCTCTTTTTGTAATTCTGATGGACTCTGTTAAACTTGATAAAAGCTACAAAATGTCCAGTAAAAGACCAGATTTTCTTTTCACTCATGGTTGACTCTTGTTACATTATGATGGTTCTTAATTTGTAATAATTTAACCATGAATATATGTGTTTCAAGAGTTTGCACATTGATTTTAGCAAGTCTTTTGCTTGGAAACATTGACAGAAAGGAGAAGAGTTTGCAACTCTCATCTTTCAAGTCTATTCTTTTTATCACATGAGTGAACAAGTTTTGTCCCTATACATCTGGTAGATGAATTTATATAAATTGCTTTCTTATGTATATCTTCATCATAGGTTAACAATACTGATGCCGAGGGAAGACTCACTCTCGCAGATGCTCTAGTATATGCTTGTAATCAAGGGGTTGAAAAGGTATGATTCAGATGCTGTGTATGCTTGATAATTTTATGTTTTTCTTCTTCCTTCTGCTCTCCTTATTAGTACAAGTTCCTTTTTTTTTTTCGGGTGTGTGTTTTTAATTTTTGTTGTACTCCTCTTTCCAAGCGAAAAGACAAGCAGCAAATCTTGCAGAATACTTAGGGGAGAAGGAATGAAGGAACTACCTCATTTTTGTATGCTATCATTTTGAAAGCTACAATGGCAGAATCTGATAGGCTGTTTTAAGGGAGATTGAAAGTTGAAACTGCTATTCTGTGTAGTTATTATAATATTTTTGTTTAATTATATTTATTTGCAAAACTTGGAAAGCTTGGACAATCATAAAGTGCTCGACTTGACTTGCTGGGTAATAAGTATTGTGATCCTGTTGGAAGTTGATTTTTCATTTTGGACAGTTCACTATATGCAAAGTAAACTCCTGTTTGGTTCCTTGAATTGTTCATGGTGGGAATCTCAGACTCCTGACGTTACTCATTATATCATGAAGTTTCTGTCTCAATGTTAAAATGTATAGGCATCAGGTCAGATACATGACCCTCACCACCTTTAAACGTCCTATGTTTTGCTTTTTGCCAGTAGAGTTAATATCATTTCAGTCTTCCCTTAGCAATATCTCTAGCTGTCTGAGTGACGAGTTACCTTTTTATGCAGATTGTTGATCTGGCTACATTGACCGGGGCATGTATAATAGCTCTTGGGTCCTCAATTGCTGGTTTGTACTTCTTGTTTCTCTCTGTCTCTCTCGTTCTTTTTGGTGAAAATCATTACGTGGTAATGCATGTATGTCTTGCGTGAACAAGTTTTTATACTCTTTCTTATAAAGATGTGCAAAACTACATGTACATTATGATAAACTGTGTCCTAATCTTTTATGAAATTATCGAGGAAGTAGATTTTTTAGATTTTGACGCATTTCTGGAATACATCATTTTTGCATTGATAATGCTTCCAGTGGCATTAGCCACACCCCAAAGATAAAGGAAGGGAAAACAGTTTTATGATTGCAGTTGTATTGACTTTGGAAATTTGACACAGGTGTTTACACACCTAGTGATGACCTGGCAAAGGAGGTACTTGAAGCATCTGAAGTTGCTGGAGAAAAACTCTGGAGGATGCCTTTGGAGGAAAGTTACTGGGAATCTATGAAATCTGGAGTAGCTGATATGGTAAATACAGGTGGTCGTCCAGGTGGTTCTATCACTGCAGCTTTGTTCCTGAAGCAGGTATTGATCTGGAAACTTGGCTTTGCCTAATTTGTCATCTGATTTTGAAACTTTCTAGATCAAGTTAAAACAGAAGCGTTTATGGTCAATAAGTGTGTAAGAAAATCAAACCACTCTTTACTTGAAATCATACCGTCAATTGACAGCATTGTTAATGAATTCTGTTTCATGTGTTACAGAAATTATACAATGCCTTTACATTGCTAAGATCAATAGCTGAACATGACTAATCAGAAACTTCTGCATTTCTTCCCCCTTCCTTTCCCTCCTCACCTCCCCAAAAAAGAAAAAGAATAAAAAAGTATCAGGGAAAAGGTAAAGAAAATGTAGTGGTATCTGAAATATGATCTCTGTGTCAATTTGGTCTTTGATATCTTATTCTGCACCAATGAAATGAAAATACTTTCTGATGCATAATTTTGGTTCCTAAACCGTTTTGGTCTGCATCAATTACACATGAGCTTTTGAAAAAGGAATTGAGCAAGTTTCAGGCCATTAGGAAACATGAAGGTTTTCTAAATGTCTAATCGGGTGTGTTCTTAAAATTGGAAAGCAATGATCGCATGCTGCATTTTTTTCCCTTTTCTTTTCCAATGGTATATTTTGTGGCTTGTTTGTTTGCTTCGCAGTTTGTTGACGAAAAGGTACAGTGGATGCACATTGACATGGCTGGTCCTGTTTGGAATGAAAAGAAGAAGGGTGCAACAGGATTTGGCATATCAACTTTGGTGGAGTGGGTGCTCAAAAACTCTTCTTAGTAGCTATCTATCTGAGTTCTGTTTATCAGGAGAAAGTAAAGTTGAAGGGGATAAGCTTATCTATAAAGAAAAGAGAATACGTTGAGAGCTGAGAAGCGAGATATTTAATGGGCTTTTGCTTGATTTTGTTGAATCATCTGGATATTGCTCAGGTTGCCATTTGCCCATAGCAGGCTCTCATGTTCTTGTGAAATTTGAAATTTGTGTTATATGCAGTGTGAATTCTTCCGTGGAGTTTTGCTTTGGTAGGTAAACTTTGCTGACAGTAATGCAATAAAAGTACTTTTAAAAACAAACATTGGTTTTTCTGTGTGCTGCAGCCTGCAATACTGAGTGCTGACACCTTTGAAAAGCTGAAACTTGGTGTCCCACTTTGTGTATTTTTCAAGCTGCTTGCGTGTCATTTAGCCTTCTAATTCTTATGCTAATCCCAATTATTGGGTTATCTAAGGATTGGTTGCGTCAATAGTTGATAGGATGTCAAAATATTCAATAGGGAAACCTCTTATTATACTTTTTAATCAACTGCGTCCCAGAAGCCACCTTATGGTATGACTGGAAGGAAACATAAAAGTATGAAGTGCATTATTCTGGCGATGTTTCGAGTATAAGCAGAAGAGATGCTTTCCTTAAAGTTAAGCAAAGTTGATAAGTGGAAGTATATGCAACTCTGGCTTAGCTGCTCGCGCCTGGATGGTGGTTCTGTTGTAGGAAGGTTCTGATTATTGGACACTTGTTAAAATATATTTCAAGTGTCATATTTTTTTTAAAATGTATGATTAATTAGGAAAAGTAAATAAATACAAAGGAGGGTAGATAAGATTAAATAGAAAAAATATATATAAATGCAATGGAGGGTAATAATTGTTAGTATGTGTATATATATGATAGATTAGATGAATTGTAGGTATTAACGAGTATTCGATAAGAATCTATTGAAAAAATCCTCATAGAAAAAGAAGTATTTATTATGGTTACCAATTAAAATTTTGTCCTGCTGTTTAATTTTTTGTTATAAAACGTGTCTAAACAGGTTAAGATCTGAATATATTAAGTTTAAATATTGAATTGGATTATTAAACAGGGTCTAAATTATACAGTGTAGAAGCTTTAGGAGTAGTTGAAACTATGTATCAAAAGAAATGGATCAATTGAGGTCCTACAATAATTGTATTTTGTGTTACAGGTGGATTGAAATGGAACCTGGCTAACTATTTCCGTGTGAAAATGATACAACATTGGACTTCTTGGGTCATTTTTTCAAAGAGATTTTGTCAATGCTTGGAATTTTAAGTCATCTGACGAATGTACTGTATTAGTATCATTGATTTTAGTGGTACAGAGAATTATAACATGGGTTTTTTTTTTAAAAAAAAGCAAAATATTTTGGCCTAATTGGTATAATTCTTATAAACCCATATTGAAAAAAGAAAAAAAAAAAAGAAACACCTTATGCTAATAGCAAATGTTTCCAACCAAAATTCTCTTTTCCTTTTGTACAATTTTTTTAGGAGAGAGGTGAAAAGAAAAGACGTGATGGTGGACAAAAGATTAAAAATGGAAACAGGGAACTTTTAGAAGGGAAAAGAAGAAGGGAGACGTGGAAATTGAGTATAAATGATCGAACTTCATAATTATTTAAGAACTGTTATTGTTTATTGTAGATATTGTAAAAATTAATTTTCAAAATTGATTATCTAGAAAAAATTAGAATCAATTTAAGCTGTCCCTTTACGGATTCTGAATTTTAGCTTTTTTATCTATTAAAGAATATAAAATTCAGATGTAAAAATAAATGAGAACATTAAAAAAATAACTGATTATTCAAAACTAGAGTCTAAAATTAGTTGAAATAATCAAACGAGATTATTGTTCACTGGGCTATATAACGCATGATATGTAGCAAAAGCTAATAATCTCTTTGGGCCTCATGCCCCTAGGATTCGGTTTTCAGACACACACCTAGACTTCATGTTGGAAAGCCCCGTTAATAGAAGTTTCCCAACAGCAGGAGCTGCGTTCTATTTGACTCAGGCTCAACTTTCAACTCCCCAAGTCCCAAGCTGTACAACCGTGAAAAACCAAAAATTTCTCTGTATTGTGTTCCCACTCTAGGATCACACCTTTGGGAATAGCAAAATGAAACTCCAATAATTTCTGGCTTCATTATTACCATGTAGAAAAGAAAGCAAAGAGAGAGAAGTAGCTGCAGCAGAGGCTCTGAAAAATGAGTGTCTCTCTAACAGTAATGACCTTTAATCTTCTTGAGGATCAAGCAGAGGACAGTCCTAACTCATGGGACAAAAGGAAAGACATATGTATAAGTGTCATCACCAGTTATTCTCCGATGATTCTCTGTACCCAACAAGGTATGAAATTTAATGGGATTAATGTATTGAGTGGATCTTGAATCTTGATTGATTGTTCATATGGCATTTGTTGAAATGGTTGATCTGGGATTTTTTGTATTTGTCTTTTGGACATGGGTATTGTACACTTATTGTTATCGTTAGTGTTTCTATTCTCAGGTCATTGGCCAAGACTGGATTTTTCTAGTGTTCAAGTTCTTAAATGGTTTAATGCTTTTCAGTTCTTTTGTTAACTATGTACATAAATGTTTGGTTTTGCAACTTGACATGTTGTCTTTTGGTTTTAGGTGTAAAGTCACAGTTGGACTATCTTCAGCAGTGCTTGACAGGTGAAGTTTCTCACAAAGAGTTGAGGACTTGTGGGGTATATTGTTTTATGATGCAATGACCAAATTTCATCTTGCATTTCTTCTGCTCTATCTCTCCTTCATTGCTTAAATTAGTTGTCTACAGACAGGTTGACCTCATAGTTTATACTTGAATAGGGAGCCCTTTAATGACACGTAGGATGTTGAGATTCACACAAGTAGATATCAAAGAATAAATTTATTTTTTTTCCGTTAAGGAGAAGATCACTAATTGCGTCCAGGATTATAATGAAGATAATGGTCAGGTTTGCAATTGTTCATGTTGAAGGTTAAAGTGGACGAGACTGGCGTCTAAAAGAATAGGGAAGATTAAGGGTCATGTCTATATGCTGTGGGGAGGGCTTATAGTCCATCAATTGAATAGATGCAAAAGAATGTTGAATGCCATCCTTCAGTGTACTGAAATCTTTATGCTTTTCTGCTGTGTTTCTCACTTCTTGGATTTATGCTGCATATACGTGCTGATGCCAAAAGGCAAAGAAATTTCATTTCGAGATATAGTTGAAAATTTGATGATATCATAGTACTGACAAACTCTAAACATTAACCCATAAATGTTTTGAGAGCTAACCTACAGATTTTTAGCTGCATGATCTTTAGTTCCCTGGAAAAATTGTGGTGCTCAATGAGTTTGAACGACTCTTCATTCTGCAGCATCTAAATGAACTGAGGGATCATGGTAGCCAAATGAAAAGTTTTTCCCTTCTTTTGCTTTTAATTTATGGAAAAATATATTTATGCAACCTAACAAGAGACGATTTAGGACATCTTGAAAATAAGATTCTAATAAATTCTACTTTAAGGAATAGTTTTAGGATCTATGTATGTTTTAGTATGTATAGGAATTAAGTCTGTGGAAGGTAACAGCATTGCCTTCCTGGTCCTGAACTCCCTGAGATGCCCAAATTTTCGTTGCATTTTAGTGTAAGACAACTGAGTTGGTAGCTTTGCTTTTGCAACCATCTGATTCCTGGCAACCAGCATGGGCTAAACTTTTTCTTGACCTCTAACAGTGCTTTGATATATATATTGAGCATGCTTTGATTTTATTACCTGCGTGATTTGTTGCAAACATGCTAATGTGTTTTATAGATAAGACATCTTTAGTCTTTTATTTTGTCAGATCACAGCTACGAATTGGCTCTGTATGCATCGTGTTGCAATAAGCTTATTTCTAATTAATAAAAACTTGCAACTTGACATCTTATATTTCATAACGAGAGAATGCTTCATTTGATTTTTTTTTTCATATCAATGAGATAAAGACACCTGCACGGTGCAATAACTCAGTTTGGATCAGTAACATGTTATGCAGAATTCTAGCACTTATAATGCTTCAACTTTCATTTGAAAAGGTTACAACCAATTTGGAATTTCAAGGAAAGGATCTGAAGACACTTCAGACCAGTATTGCACCATCTTCTATGACAAGGAGAAGGTAAAACTTCTCTATATCTTAGCGTGACATGGCTGAGCTAATTACTCGTAGAAGGAATAAAACCTACTATAATCCCAGTGCTTTACGGAACACTGAACATACAAAGAACTCGACCTGTATTTTCATGTATTATGTTTCTGGATGAAGGTAGAGCTGTTAGAGGGTGGGACTTTTTGGTTGTCAGAGTCACCTTCGGTACCTGGAAGCATGTCTTGGGGTTCTATTGTTCCATGCATTGCAACATGGGCAATATCCTTTTACACATTATACTGTCTTCTCTATATCCATTTGTTTCAATGCTGCATCACAGACCATTTTACACTTGGCTTCCTTTACAAATTGTGTACACATTCCAACTGAAAGGCGTGGAACCACCTGGTTTTTCATTTGAAATAGTAAATACTTGCATGGATGAATTTAGTCCCCGGGCTCGTAGGCGAAGTGCTTTGCTGACATGGCAACATATTGCCTCTTTGCCTCCTAGCTTGCCTGTGGTATACTGTGGAGGATTTAATACACAAAAGGAATCAACCACTGGCCGTTTTCTTCTTGGAAGATCAAGGTATTGATTCAATTTTAGCCTGAAATTGAAATTTTACATTTTCTCTGAACTCTGCTGCTGATAACTTCAGTTTGTATTTAAGTCAATTATACTTGTAATTTTGCTTTGACAACTTGCCTTTTTCATTTGAAATTTTTTATTGCATACATCCTGGAAACAACCAGCATGAATATTATCGTATACGGTATTCCTCCTTGGAATCTTCTCAATTTTATGTGGGTACATTATTGGTTTACAAATATCCATTCCAAGCCTAGGACAGTTTCCTTTATGAAGAATTGTCATTCTGTTCAGTGCATCTAATGTCTCAAGATTTTTTCCAAAATCGAAACCAACAAAATGCAGCATAAAAATTTTAAAGTGCAACAAAATTGCACTTCCAAAGAAATTGATAGAATCTAAAGGGTGTATGCAAGGAGGATATTTTCTGTGTATAAATTTTGAATAAATAATGCCTCACTGAAGCTTCATGATCTGTGTTTCAAATGACAATATGGCTGTATTGTGCCAGAATAATGAGTGGGCTTCTGGTTTAATCAGGACTGGCTGGTCCAAGCTGGCAATTTGGACAATTTTTCTGTACAAATATTCCTTGACTTTTGCAAAGAAGATAAATCCGGAGTAACGGAATTGTGTTGAGTGAAAGTTCTGTCTTGACATCGTTTCTTTTGATAAGTTTAATCCCCTTTATCAAACATAGAGGGAACATTCCTTCTTTTTTTTTATTTGTTGCTACTTGATCCTTGAGAAATTCTATTTTTCTTCAATGAATTCATAGTGAAAAGGCTGGATGAAATGGCCTTGGACCCTGTGATTTCTGCTAAAATACTAAAACACACAGAGAAATGGACTGGAAATTGAAATCGTAGACCTCTTGTACATTGCTTTGAAATAGTTTCTTTACAATTTTTAGCACTGTAATCTAAGTGCGTTAACTTGGTATAGGTACAAACTTTGTGAGTCAAATTGCTTGCGACAGTCTTCGACTCTATGATAGGTCTCAGTATCAAAATAATGCTTCTCGATTATAAATTAGCATCATCAGTTCTCAAAAAAGTGCTTGTTACGTTACAGAGAGAAGGTTAACCCACTATGATTTTCTGTTCTTTTCGAGGTGGAAATATCATGCTCCATACCGCCCATTTTTGCATCTGCTTTGTTGGTCTAGGTGTTATTTTTTGTGTTTTATGATGGGATAAGAGGCAAGATAGGAACATAAAAGTATTATGTTTAAAAAGTTGGGTGTGAATCTGCATTTTCAGTCATGGTCAGACAATGAGTTGTCACCTGCTGCAACTCTACATATTGTCTGATTGGTTTCCTGGCATCAAGTGTCCTGCTTCCATTGCCCATAATCCTGTTAAATCATGTAGGAAGCAACCACTTGCACCAATAAAACCTCAGCTGAGTGGCTTTGTCATTCCCGAGTCAACCTTCACTCCCCCAAGCACAAGATAATGTTTTACAAATGGTGAATATGTAGCTAACTCATCCTGGTGGACCCCTACTCTCCAACTCCTAAATTTGTTTAAAGTAGTTTGTGTTCTGTATAGCTGCTAAGTTCTTTGAAACATTGTTTCTTTTACAGGGAGCATGGTGTTGTCGGTGATATGAGGGATACTTGGCCAAATGCTCGAGTAAGGAAAAATGTTTCCCTAATACGTACTTATCATGGATTCAAAGGTATCAACATGCTAGCTTTCGAAAGGCTAATCTGAGTCTGGTGTATTTTCCAGCCCTCAATCTTTATTTTGTTCTGTCAGGTGACAAGCAGGGAGCTGTTGAATTCCTTAAGCTGATCTTCAGAGCACTTTGCCTCTGCTGGGATCGCCAAACTCAGGATCTGCATGTCGACTGGATTCTTTTTAGAGGCAGATCTTTGACACCAGTCTCATGCGAAGTGATAAGTGACAATATTGATGGGCTTTATCCATCATCACACTACCCAATACACGCTGAGTTTATGCTCCCTCGCACTGTCAGATTAACTGATGCACCTACTCAAGATGGAAATTAAGTTGTTTTGTGATTGCTGTTGTTAAAGGATGGATGCTAAAGTATTTGCTTCAGTTCCCTTAATTGTGGAAGTATTCATTCTTCGAAATTGCACGAATCTTGGATGCTAACCCCAGAATTTTTTTGGTTGGCTGCCCCGCCGGGCACCGGGGGGTGGGGGAGGAGCGGGGCGGGGCGTTGGCGGGATTTAGACGTTACGTGATAATTAGGTGGTGAAGCGGAATTTTCTTTTCTTAATTCTTTGTTTCTCCATGCAGTATGAATAGCTAAGGATATTATAACTAGTTCGTTATCGAAGCATCGGCTGCAAATCTAAGATTGCAGACAAATTGGAAAACTAAGTACAAGATGATCATCATGATATCAGAGTTGGGCCTCAAGTTTTGTTCATCAACTTATTCATAGTTCCATTTGCAACTTAGTTGGGACATTCATAGGAACTAAGGGAGTCGAGAATCCTGTTGCACAATAGGTACACAACACTCGAGCTTTAGTAACCGGCGCAATGCCTCTTGGTGTGCAATAAGAAGTTTAATTCGGGGCTTGCGGATGCGGATGAAAACTATAAAGTGAGTTCTTTATGTGAAACGAATAATCCTATCCAACTAGAGCCCATCGTGCACCTGGTGCGAGGCAGCGTGCACCAGAACACCCATGCCCAAGCGAATCTAGGGTTAATGCAAATTAACAAAGTTGACGACTTCATGAATATAACTTAAAAGAGTCCCACCATAGATTTGATCCCGAAAAATTTGAGCTATTAGGGCATTGTTCGCTTGCATCTCGTACCGAACTACGTTTCATAAGTTTGTTTCGATCCATTTAAGAGAGGTTCTCACCAATATCAAGTCACGTATAAGAGAGGGAGTGTTAAGCCACCACTAATTGATTTTGAGAAAAAAAAAAGTAGGGGGTCCTTTATCGTTATTCTAGATCACTAATTTTACACAAACTATTCTCAAATTCTACCATCACATCTGCTCAACTAGTCTTGTTGACAAACTGACGATATAGAACGGTGGAAATTTGTGAAGAACTAGGCAAAACAGGCAAAGTCCTTTTGAGAGGTAAAGTCTGCGGTGCTGGGCTGTAGACTATCGGGTGACTGCATGCCCAAGGGATCTGTGTTGAATTAATTTGGCTAATTGTAGAGATAAAGTGCATATAAAATCTCAGTTCTTCAAATTAAGGGCTGGATTTTCACCGTGGAACGGAACCCACGTTTGGTGAATAATTCCACTCCTTATGACTTAAATAATGCGCAGCATAGGAAAAAAAAATTATGGAATATACGGCTTTACAAAGCTGGCACTTTAGCTTGCACGGATTATAAAGACTAATTAATGAGCTATTCTATAATACTAAGTATTACCAATTTCCCAAATGATAGGGATGTGTAAACAAGATGAGGAGCACCTTCTAACGTCCCATTATTTGTTTTAATATACCATCCACATAAAATATGCAATTTCACTTCTTGAATATGTTTTGCGTTGGTTGAAACGTGAATCAAATTAACCGTTGTTCTCCTGCCTCTTTTCCGCTTCTTAAATTCCATTCGTCCCTGTTTCCCAAAAAAAAAAAAAAAAATTGACCACTACTCGTTTAAAAAAAAAAATTCCTTTGATCATTCGATGGACTTTGGCTTTCTTCAATCATATACAGCAAGGAAAATGATAGAAATAATTAGACAGAGAAATGAAATAACTATATAGCATTTGTTGGGGGGGGGGGGGGGGGGGGGGGGGGGGGAGCTTAAGTGAACACCAAAGGACAAGGTGTCCTGATGAGGGAAGAAAATAAGAAAAATAAAAAAGAGAAACTACACAACAGCTGGGTTGTCCAAATCAAGGGTAGGTCAAAATTATAAGCCAAGCAAGCTCGAAGTTTTGTAGCTTTTAATATACTTGACTTGATTAATTTGTTGGATTATAATAATTAAGCAAGAACTGCCGCTTTGACCTCGTCATTCATTTCATATCTCGTATATATGGAAAATCTGTGATTTGTTACTCTTTTAAATTCACAACCGGGCACAGTCCTACTTCGGATTATGCCTAAATCTAGTCTACTTTTATTGGAAGTCAATGTTGTTGCAAATCATGGAAAAAAATATTTGGCACTTGTTAAAAAAAAATGAATAAATTTTATATGTACTAACAGTGTATACACTATCACTGTTAAATTCATGATACATGTGTAAAAGTTGGATTTCAAATTTAAATTTTGCATACCTGTCATTTATCCAAGACTGACAGTGTATATATTATCAATGTACGAGAGATTAATAGAAAAAAAAATAAATTTGGTTTATTATCAATTCATCACAAACCACATAGGACAAAAATTGAGTCACAGGCGCACAGAACGAAGTGTGTTTGGATTGGAAGTTATTTGTCCAAATATATTTGCTTACATCACCATTACAATTTCCAATACACCTTTTTATCTTCTCAATTACCTTTTTATCTCACATACATGATACATCACATCACAAAAAGTGCTACAGTAAAAATATCTCAAATAACTTACAATCCAAACACACTAGTGCTAATCATGCGCGATTGGCTCATAACATTTCAGTTGCCCAACTACTTCAAGAGTTTACCACAACAGCAAGTCAAAGTCAAGGACCATTTTAGATTGTAAACTTTCTTTTCGCCTAAGGTTTGTTTGATAGTTTAATTCAACACTTAAATTTAATGAATTCAAATCTTAATATGTTCAAATATATTTGATAACCAAAAATTGAATATTTGAATTAATTAAGTGACACCGAATTTTCTAAACAAAACTTACTTTCAAAAATAAGTGATAAGTTATTCACTTATCATTGAATGTGATATACGTTCAAATATATTAGATATAATATTTAACAATTCAATAACTTAATGAATTTAAACTTCAGATTTCAAATTTCAGTTTTTAGATTTAAGTTTTATCAAACGTATCGTGAAACTAGGCCGAATTGAAATCAAGCTGATGGTAAATTTAACAATCTAATGAATTATATTGTACAAATCCATCATCAAACCATGCTAAAACTACAACGGAATCATGTATATTCCTATTCGTTCTTTCTCATTTTTGTCTAGCATTTTAATTATATCTTGTTCGATACAAGTAAAATAGCATCTAGGGAGGAAGGGTTGAATTAATGGTAAGATAAATGATATTGTAGGTATAAGATTGGAATTCAAAACTTTCTACTTTAAAAAAAAAAACAAAAGACAAAAAAGCTTCTTCCAACTGTTTATGCCTTGTATTGACTAGCAAGATTGTCTTTTTTTTTCCTTGTTCTTGTCATCAAACCATAAAAGTAAGAACATAGATGACCAAAGTCAACTACATTGTTGCAGGTTGCTAAGCAGAGAAAGCCTGTGTAATAACGAAACTAGTAACTCCACGTGTTTGTTTTAAGGTTTTGATCAAGTGCCTTAGTATGCTTTTGTTACTAAAACCTCATGATTAGTCTATTTAATTACTTGATGATAATAAGGGGTGTAATTAAGTTTTATACCAGAAAAAAAAAACGAAAGATATAAAGGTCAACAAATTAACAAAGTTTGGGTGAGTTGAGCGAGAGAGGTCTCAAATTTCCTATACCACTAACTTCAAGCTTCAAGTTTTTTCAGCATGTTAATGCAAAAATTGGACTAATCAAAGGGCAAATGTGCAAATAGAACTTTCACCGACGGCGCGAAGCTTCGAAATCTAAAACACTTTGACCGCTACATTAAGCAACACTTTCAGAAATGAAAAAACAAGTCCCGTTCAGATTGAGAGTTTTTCACATAAATATTTTTTTAATCACTTTTTATCTCATATCACATCATTATAATATATTTTTCTATAAAAATTTAAAAAATCTGTAATTCAATGGAAGTCGAAGTTTTATGGATTTTTTTTTTCTATTTTTTCATCTTTTATACATTCAAGAATTTAGATCTAAGGTTTTGTTTGGATTGCATTTTTTTGAATTTTTTGTAAAAAAATTACTATAATAATTTGATATATATAAAGTAAAAAGATGATTGAAAAATGTATCCAACAGTTGTTGCTGTCCAAACAAAACAAAAGCATGATGAACTTCACTTGGTGTTATGAGTATGAATTTGACTAGATGTTATGCCTTAGACTCATGTCAATCATTTTAGTTGCAGTAATAAATATAATACTAAAACTAATGGAAAAACATGATTGTATTAACTATATTAACTCACACTTCTCAATGTGTGATTCTCAATGTGTGAAAGTAGAAGCAAATCTATCTTTATGGGATGAACAGAGTATAATAATAATTAAATACATGATCATTCCACTAATTTAAAGAAAGAATTTCCAATGTAATATTTGTTTACATTGGAAAGTGAAGGATGTTAGTTATTGTTCTCTTAAGAAATTTGAAATTTTTCTTGTTCTTTCTTATACATTTTTTTTTTGTATTTTGTAATAATAAATTTTGCAGGATCTTGAAAGAAAATGGTTAAATGGACGGAAGGATCTTAAGAATTGACACTAATTTTCGCTAATTTCCCATTTTGTTTCAAAAAATTTTTTTATGACTAAATATAAACTTTTATTTTCCTTTTACTTCAACAACTTTCCATTTATTCAAACATGCGAAAAAAAAAGAAGAAAATCTTAAACTGTTACCAAAACCGAGAAAGAAAAATCTTACTTCATTAATTACCATTCAGTCTTCGTCAACCCCATTTAGGTCCAATCTCAACTATTCACCCCACGACTTCTCCCTCAATCCAACGGTCCTCAATGCCCACAGCAATTATTTTTTTAAAAATTACTAATGATAGTTTAATTAGCCTTGAATCCAACTCCCCACATATCCATCTTCCTCCCCAGTCGTTTTTTCTTGAGTGCTGCAGGCTGTTCCTTGTTCTTCCCGTTTCCTCCCACTATATTATTAATACCCAAAATTAAGTTTAAATTCCCCCCCCCCCCACCATTTTCCTCTCTCTCTCACACACTCACGCAGTAATTTCATTAGATTCGCGGAATAAATTAAAAAAGAGGAAATTATACATACGCATATTTATATAGAGGAGTGTGTGGATCTAGATCTTAGTG